AAATAAAATCTATATTTCATAGGTAAACTTTTTCATTATAATATTAATTATTTTTGATACATTTTGCCGAAAGATTCTCTTTACCATGTTTCGTATTAAAATTTCAATTGATTATTAATGTTTCAGGTAATTAACTAACAAAATATTCATAATTAATTTTTTAGACTAATCAATTTAAAAATGAATTTATGTAACAAATTGTACTTAATTTTGTAAGAAATCTAATTTTTTTAAGGTATATGGGATATTTTTGAAATAAAATCTTTTAAATTCAGTCATTTTTTTAATATTTGTAATAATTATAAAATATGTTAATTACACAAACAACATACACGCTTAAGTTGATCACTATAAGAACACACCACAACTGGTTAACTGTCTGACATAGAACGTGAAAAAAATAAAATCTGATATATTACTTACACTTTCATAAATGTACATTCCTTCATCAGCTTTAGCTTCTATTTGAATGCAGGTCCAAAACCACTGTAATAATTTTTAAAATGCTTGTAACATAAGACACATGGAATTAAGTAAAATTTAAATGAAATCAACCAGTATTAAAATAGATAAAAACCTCGTTTTTTAAGAAAAAGGCATCTTTGATGTAGTCAGAAGTATTTACGATGCAACCATCTTCAATAACTATGTGAGTACAAGTTGGATCTTTTGAAGCAACAACTTCACCACCTTAAATAAATACATTAGAATGTTATAAAAAGTAATCCGGAAAATAAAAAAGTTTAGAAGAAAATATCATAAAATTTAAAATGTTTTTTCTTCATAGATTTGTTTTTTTGGCGCTGGAACCAATCAACAGACTAGGTTCGAGTACTAGTACTATAGTGCCATACCAAAGGAATTTTGCCAAAATATTACATTAGAACCTATATATAATCAACTAGCATTTAACAAGATTCTGTATTTAACAAGGAAAATGAGTCTTGTTTGATGATTTGTTATAAATGTATTAAAATAGGGTTGCATAACTTTTTCAAAAGAAGAAAAAAATACTTAGGATTTTAAGGGCCAATACAAATACATTTTTTTAGGATAATTGATAATAACTATTCTTTAATATAATAAGAACATAACTTGAAAATATTTTGTTCATTTATGTATATGTGTATTTTTTTTTTACAGTGAATATTTTATATTTGCCTCCATTTTTACATAGATTTAAGAACCACATTAATTTTGAACATGTTTTGGTGAAAGAAAATTCTCAATTGAAATTTTGATTTGCATTTTTTCAAATATTATAATTTTGATGTTCTTCAAAAAATAAAACAATAAGTTAAAAAGAAAAATATAAAATGTCTTATATAAAATACAGCTTTTCTGACAAATTATTTGATTGGAAGACAGAGGATTGCTTATTTGTTATTTAATTGCTGCTTTTTTATTGAACCTTATTTTAAATTTTTCTCTTTGATTTAACGAGTACAGTACAGGCTTAGATGGGACATTTAGCATATCGTAAAGAACGATAGGAATTACTTTGAGAAATTATAGAAATATATAAGGCAACCTTTTTAATTATTATCAGAGACCCCTCCATTCCTTTTTAGCATATATAAGATTTCTTTCGAAATAAATAATAAAATAAAGAGACTAAATATGGATTAAATTGATGTGAAACTTAAATTATAACTCTGCTTTTACAAGTATTCCAAATCATTTGCTATTTAAGAAAATATTTCAATTATACTAATTTAATTTTATGAATTCAAATACTTTTAAAACCTTTTAAACATGTAGTTTGTATATATAAATAACTAAGACAAATTCATTAGGGTATTTATCTTGAATTACTTGTTTGATTATTTATCTTGAAACTACTATGATTTTATTTCCTCAGTGCTCAGTTTGAAACAATTGTAACCATGTTAGTTAGAAATATTATGTACTTTAGATATAATCTTGTTTCGAAATAATATTAAGCAGAATTATTGTATTTTATCAGAGCTTTGTTTGAAGTAAATAAAATAAATTTAAAAAAAAAAACATGATTTTAACAAGCATATTTTTATTTTTTGAGTCATTCATTAAATATGACTGTCAATAAACTAGCACTTTAAAATAATAAGAAAATCTATTTCTACAAATAAAATCTATCAGCAAATCTGTGGCAAATTTCTAAATTGAGACTATTTGAACTGAAGTTACAGAGAGAGTGAGAGAGCAATTACATAGCTTTCCTCCCATTAAAGTTTGCAATACATAATTTAGCTTAGTTCCCCCCCCAAAAAAATAACAGAGCTATCATTTATTTTCACATCAATCCTTGCGGTACATTGTCAGATAATTTTTAGAAATTAGACGTTATGAAATCGAAAAAAAAGACAAACAAAACATTTACAGTAATCATAGATTTAGTTTATTTCTGTTATTCCACAAATTGATAGTCATAGGTAAGACATGTAACAATATACAGTACTTGCTCAGAGATTAAAAAACAATTTGTTAACAAAAAAATAAATAATTACCATTTTTTAAGGTTATTTCAATCATATGTTGTTCTTCATCACTTTGATAACCTAGAAAAGCTAGCCTACAACCCACAAAAGGCAACAGCCTAAACTGCATCTGAAAATAAAATATTTTTTTATTATATAAGGTTACAAAACAAATTCTGATATCAGAATCTTTTAGTAACATTTGTAAAAATGTTCTATAGTTTTTATAAATTATGAGGTGATAAACGAACATATTCTGATGTAACAAACAAAACTACACATTTTCATATTTTAATGAAAATTTTACATGCTGTTGATAAATTTAGTTTCATTATATAGACATTTTTTGTTGAAAATTTAAGCATATCCTTCAAACTTTGACTTAGCAGCCCACCAACAAGTGAAGTTTTTCTTCTTTTGAATTATAAAGTTGAATGTAAGATAGATTAAATGCAAAGAGTTTTAAAAATAAATAAAATAAAGAAAAACAGGCAGTGTCTTAAAATTTAACAAATGCAGATAAAGAAGCTAGGTAGTAATAATTAGTCATAAATAATTTGTCTGATAAAAAAAGTTTTTCTGGGTTTTTATAATACAGTGGAGCATCGTTTATACGACGATCACTTATACTACGTTTACATTTATACGACGTTTTAGTGTTGTCCCAAATCATTCCCATTCATTTTAATGTAAAAATATATCATTTATACGACGCACAGAATCGGTTATACGTCGGTTTTTAGATTTTGTTCACGTTTATTTAATTTTTTATTTTTTCTTGTGTATTTTAAAAAAGGGCGGAATTTGCCAACATGAATGATACAGAAAAGGATGCCAACAAGAATGCTTGGATGACGACCGTAATTTTTACTAGATGACTGAAAAAACTAGACAATGTTATGAAGAGGCAA